TTAAAAAAAAATGTGTTTAATTCTACAAAATACAATAAGCTAAAACAAGAGACACTCCTGGAGCAAAGCCCAAATAGCATCCCAAACAAAGGCATCACAGAAAATGATTCAAGTGGGCTGAGGATATAGCTCGGTTGGTAGAGTCCTTGCCTCGCATGCACAAGGCCCTGGTTTTGATCCCCAACACCACACACACACACACACACACACACACACACACACACACACAGTTTAATATATTACCTCAATCTGTAAATATTTATAGGAACACCTTAAAATGCATGCAGACCTACCTCAGCTGATCTTGGTACTAAGTCAATTGCTATTGTTTGAATGTGTGCCCTCCAAAATTCAGGTGTTGAAACTTAATGGTCAATATAATAGTACTGAGGTGGGGCCTTTGAGGGTCGATTAAGCCATAAAAGTTTATCCCTCATGAATAAGATTAAGACTCTTATAAAAATGGGTTTCCAATAGCCTTAATTTTTCTTGTCTTTTCAACCTCTGTCATGAAAGGACATAGCATTCAATTCCTCTGGGTACAACTATAAGCCACCATACAGGATGTAGACACTGAGCCTCCCACCAGACATTGAAACTCACAACACCTTGATCTTGAACTCCCAACTTCCAAAGTTATGAGGAAATACATTCTACTGTTTTTAAATTACTCAATTTCCTATGTTTTGTTATAGACACACAAACAGACCGAGACACTGACATTGTGGAACCAAACTTTAGACCAACCCCTAAAGACCCAGTTTCATGGCCTTTCCAGTACCAAGCCAACCCATGTGGTTTCAGGACAGCCCCACAGATTCAGGATCCTAGTCCATCCCCATGTACTGTTATAGACACCCTAGTAGTCCCTGGGACAAAACCAGCACCCAGGTCCCAGGCCTACCTCCACAAAATGAGCAACCAGGGCTACCTGGTGAAACCTGCTTCCAGACCTAGGATCCAGGACCACCCCAGGACACCCAAGTTTACAAGTTAGACGAGGTAGACCCAAGTACCAGAACCACCCTTGGGCTGACCTTTTTCTGAGCCAGGCAAGGGCCATCCTGCCCCAGGGCTTCAGTAGAACTTCCACAGAGGTACTCCCACCAGCATATCAAGAATCTCTGGATAGGTTTATGCTGTGATTTGGATATGAGATGTTCAAAAAAATCTCATGTGTGAGATGATGCAAGAATATTTTCAGAGGTGGAATGATTATGAGAGCTATGACCTATCATTGAATTTATCCATTTGATGGATTAATAATTTGAAAGGACTACTGTACTAGGTGGTAACCATAAGCAGACAGGGTGTGACCAGAGGAGGAAGGACACTATGGGTGTTCCCTTGGGGATTATATAGGAATGTATATCATGTCCTGGGCTCCTTGTGTACTCGCACCCGCCCTCATGCTGCCTTCTCAGTCATGATGTTCTGCCTCACCTTACACCCAGAGCATTAGAGTTTGCCAGCCATGGACTGAACCTCCGAAATCATGAAGCAAAATAAACTTTTCCTCCTCTAGTTTGTTCTTCTCAGGTACTTTGGTCACAGTCAGTAAATGCTGACTAACACAGCTAACTAGTAAAGGGCTTTACCTGCTGAATCCAATCTATAAAGAACAGTACAGGCACCAACTTCTTAAAATGTTCACATGCCCAAAAAGGCCAAAAAGATTGTGAATAATCAGGCAAATACAACACCACCAAAGGAACAAAATGAAGTGCCAGTCACTGACCCTAGAAAGGCAGATCTATGAACTGCCTGACAAAGAATTAAGAATAGATGTCTTAAAGAAGCTCAGAGAACTACAAGAGAATACAGAAAGACAAATAAATGAAAATGGGAAAATGATATTTACATTAAAAGAGAAGTTCAACAAACAGAGAAAGAGAAAAAAAAAGTTAAAAAGAACCTCAGAAGTTTCCTTGGAAAATTTGGAATGGAACTACCCATTTGACCCAGCTATTCCTCTCCTCAGTTTATACCCAAAGGACTTAAAAACAACATACTACAGGGACACAGCCACATCAATGTTTATAGCAGCACAATTCACAATAGCTAAATTGTGGAACCAACTAAATGCCCTTCAGTAGATGAATGGATAAAGAAACTGTGGTATATATACACAATGGAATATTACTCAGCAATAAAAGAGATTAAAATCATGGCATTTGCAGGTAAATGGATGAAGTTGGAGAATGTAATGCCAGGCGAAGCAAGCCAATTCCACAAAACCAAAGGCAGAATGTCTTCTTTGATATGAGGATGCTGTCTCATAATGGCTATGGGGGTGGGGGGAGCATGGGAGGAATGGAGGAACTTTAGATAGGGAATGGGCATAGGGTAGGAAAGACAGTGGAATGAATTAGACATTATTACCCTAAGTACATGTATGAAGGTACAAATGGTGTGAAAATACTTTGGGTACAACCAGTGACTTGAAAAATTGTACTCTGTATGTGTATTATGAAATGATTTGCATTCTGCCGTCATATATAACAAATTAGAATAAATAAATAATTTAAAAAAGAACCCAGGAAATTCTGGAGTTAAAATTCCAAGAGCACTCAATCACAAATTCTAAGAAATAGAATTAGTGCTCAGAAAGATCATTTGAAATTACCCAATCACAGGAACAACAACAACAACAAAAAGAGAGTGACAAAACATTTGGAGGAAAATGGATGGAACTTGAGACCATATACTACACAAAATAAGTTAAACTCAGAAGATCAAGAATCCTTCTCTCATATGTGGAAATTAGAGAGGTAAAAAGAAAAAAGGTGTGTATTGCAGGAGCAGGAGTGTCTCATGAAAATCAAAGGGAGATCAGTAGAATAAAGGGAAGAAGGAAGGGATGGAAAGGAAAAATACTGGGGAATAATATTGATCAAATTATATCATTCCATTGTGTTAACATGCAAATATGTAAAAATAAACCCCACCATTATATATAACTATAACGCACCAATAAAAAGTGAAAAAAAATAAACTTTCATGAGAAAAAAAAAGAGAGTAACAAAAGCCTATGGAATTTATGGAATATGATCAAGTGAACCAATGTACACATTGTAGGGATCCTGGAGAAACAGAGATTGGAAGGAGAAAAAGCTTAATTAGAGAAATAATGACAGAAATTTTCACAAATAACAGGATGAAATTAACATCAATCAGTAAGAGACAAAAATCACACAATTGTTTCAGAAAAAGAATTCAACAAAGTTAAATATCCTGTCTTTGATAAAAACTCAACAGCTTAGGTATAGAAGGAAGTTCCTCAACTTAATAAAGGCCACTTGTGAAAAACCCAACTAATATAATCAATGGGGGAAAAATGAAAGTTTTTCTCTAAGATCTGGAACAAGGCAAGTGTATGCCCACTCTCCTCACTTCAATTCAACACGGAAGGACTATCTAGAGTAATCAGGCCAGGGCTGGGTTTATAGTTCAGTGGCAGAACACTTGCCTTGCATGTGGGAGGTGCTGGGTTTGATTCTCAGCACTGCATATAAATAAAAGTCCAGCAACAACTAAAAAATATTTTTAACAATACAATAATCAGGCCAGGTGCAGGGGTGCACACCTATAATCCCAGTGGCTAAGAAAGCTAAAAGAGGAGGATCATGAGTTCAAAGACAGCCCCAGCAACTTATCGAGGCCCTAAGTAATCCAGTGAGACTCTGTCTCTAAATAAAATGCAAAAAAAAA